TGCAAGTATTCAAACTTAGTCTTATTAATTGATACATTAGGTATCATTTGCACCTTTTTTTACAAAGGTGTGTTTGAACAGAATCTGATGTTTCCTTCAGGCGGTAGATCTGCACTGAATATGCAAATGGTTCCATAAATTTATACTTATTTTCTCTCCTCTTTACTGCGTTAAGCTTTAACCCTTTCCTATACCAACTGTATGCGTGTGTGTGTATGTGTATGTTAGACCAGTTTAAGTGTTTATGTAGTATGTTAGACTAGTTTAAGTGTTTATGTAGTTAATAAAGTCTTACTTGTATCACATTTGATGTTGTTCATTGTTTGCTCATAACTGGAGTCACTTAATCATGCAGATTTATGCTACAAGCTCGGTGTAGAATTGTACAGTAAGAAAGTTATTTCCCTTAACCAGGAAATTAACGTTCTTAGAATTGACAGACAGTTGACTCTGAGAGGTCAAGTAAATATCTACAGCGGATCTAAATATTTATAATTAATTATAACTAGTTCTGATAAATTATTCATATTTCTCATGAGCTGATTCGCTACACTAAATAAAATAAAATTTTTAGCAATTTTGTTGAGGTTGCATTGGTTATCATTAAATTAACTTTTATTTAAGAGAGTTAAATCTGGCACATTACAGTTCCCCTTCAGGAACTCGAGCTGCGTCGAGATTCGCTTTGGGAACGCCCTTGCGTGACCGCGTTCTGAAGCACGTGTCAAATCCATCCAATGGAGCAGCGAGACGTCACGAGCAGGGTGACGTAAGCACCAGAAAGCATAAAAGCGCATCAGGCCGGGCCCCACCCAGCTTCTGCTCTTCATCATCACTGCAAGCTCTCGCTGCGCACGCTCCGCTCTCGCCTGGCTACATTTGATGAGAGCGGCCAGGCTCATCGTGATGTGCTCATAAGATACACACACAGGCAGGGACTTGGTAGTATGGCGCAGTTGGTATTCTCATTTTCAAAGCGAATCTCGACGAAGCTCGAGTTCCTGAAGGGGAACGTCTCTAGGTTACGTTTGTAACCATGGTTCCCCGAGGGAACGAGACGCTGCGTCGAGATTCGCTTTGGGAACGCCCTTGCGTGACCGCGTTCTGAAGCACATGTCAAATCCGTCCAATGGAGCAGTGAGACATCACGAGCAGGGTGACGTAAGCACCAGAAAGCATAAAAGCGCATCCGGCCGGGCGCCACCCAGCTTCGATGAAGTAGCGCCTGCAGGGATGCAGGGAGTATGGCAAAGAGACGCAGTGTCTCGTTCCCTCGGGGAACCATGGTTACATACGTAACCTAGAGACGTTAGCCATTGGCCACCCATACTGGTCGACCACTCATGGAGACACTCATACTTTTGGGCTCTGTTCCAAAACCTTGTGAGCTGCCTGCATGTGCCCTACATAGGTAGTTGTGCCTTCTAAGAAAGTTCCTGAAACGGAACCTCATAAATGATCAATTTGAAATGCTCTGCATATGCAGCAACTCTGCCTGCCATAAATAGCATTCCTAACACAAGACATGGGAGACTCTTTTACAATCGATTAAAACTGGCTAACAATACCATATTCTAAATCTATACATAGTACATAATTACTGGTTAAAATAAACTTACAGATACATTTCAATATGTGTCCACTACCGTTCAACATTTACTTAATACATTAAGTATGGATTAAATTGATCAAAATTTGCAGTAAAGACATTTACCAAGTAAGAATATTGGCAATTGTAAGAATATTGGCAATATTTGACAATATCATTTACTATATTTTCATCAAATAAAAGCAGCCTTTGTGAACATGACAGACTTCATTCAAAAACATAAAAAAATCTTAGTAGTGTTAAAAAAAAAAAAAAAAGCATATACATATATATTTCTTTCTTTCACAATTTAGTTTTTCAGGGAATAATAAAGAAATAATGTATGCTTTAACATAAATATGCATAACATAACTAGCATCATTGTGCTGCGCAGTGTTTAGAATAGGCTTTGTGTCTGGAGTTAGTCTATAATTCCTTAAAATACTGCCTGCGTAGGCCGCACACTAGGTTTCGGAACAGAATCTTGGATTTGGACTCATGCTTTCTAACAGCCAGCCAAATGGCAACACAGACCACAGATGCACATCCAAAGGGATGCAAGATGGTCCTCCCGTATGCTCTGCCTGCAAGGGCAAAGTATTCACAACATTATAAAAATGCTGTGAGATCAATCATGTTTAAAGTGGTTGGAAACGACAGTAGCCTGTTAGCATGAAACATTTAAGTAGGTCATGCTTCCGGATTGGTCTCATTGTTTGGAGCTGACTGCAAAGAAGGTCTGCAGAATAACACATGAAAGCGAATGCAGAGAGTAGACTTTCAAAGGCATCAGACAGACTTTCCCGGAGAACATAGGAGAGAAAACAAGTAGGTGTGTAAAGACAGCGAGAGCGATAGAAGGGCTGCAACCAACAACAACAACTCTGTGTATTTTAACTGAGTGACATGTTTGCAGGCCGAACAAGACAAACTTGTTTTTCCATTCGGTTTTCTTCAGTGGCATCTGAGCGCTTGCAAATGGAGGTTCACTTTAAAGTATTTGAACCTATTAGACCACTGTCTGATGCAGGGTTTCTGCAGGTTTTATAGAGATTTAGGAATTTTCAAGACTAAGTAGAAAAAAAAGTTGAGGCAAAATATATTTTAAAAAAAATCTGTACCTTCTGATCACAATTCTTGTATCGTTTTTACTTTTGTATCGTTTCCAGTGCAAATGATTCTTAAAGCAAAAGACACTTACTTGAGAAGCAAAATGACTCATTTTCTGTGAAACTGATCAAAATTAAGTGAGTTCATGATTAAAACAAGAACAAATATCTGTCAATGGGCTCAGACAAATCTACTGAATTCAAAGTGAAAACAAGTCGTTTACCCTATGACAGATATTTCTTCCTGATTTAAGCATCAACTCGCTTAATTATTTTCTGTTTCTCAATATATTTTACATTTGCAAGTACATGCTATTTAAATCTTGATTAAAGGATGTTTAGATATTTGTACTGATATTTTGCAATGCTTGCAACATTTAATGCCATGACTTCATCATGAATTTAAAGGGGTTAAGAGTCAGCCACGCCTACCTAAAACGGCTCATTCTAACACGCCCCCACATGTCTACATCACGATGTGGGAAGATTTGCATAACGCCACCCAAATGTTCATGCAAAGAAAGAAGGCGTAACTTTTATTCTCGCTGTAGTATTGTTGTTGCCGCCGCCATGTCGTGAAGACGCTGTGTTTCGTTGTGAAAACGAAACTACTTTGTTTGGCCTTCCAAAAGAGGACGATATCCGCTTCGTCATGCCAGGAGCTGATCCGTGCTGGTCGCTGAGGAAATACTTCAACTTCGTGCTGTGGATCGCCGGATCGGCTTTCACCGTGGACAAAGCGGAGTCCAGCCCGGGGTCGTCACATGTGGTTGCCGCAGGCATCACAATATGGTAAGGGACGTAACATTTCAGTCACACGCTTGAGATATTCGGCCAATCACAACGCACTGGATATCTGGCCAATCACAGCACACCTCGCTTTTTCAGACCGATGAGCTTTGCAAAAATCGACACGTTTCAGAAAGGCAGGGCATAGAGGAGAAACAATAATGTACAGTATGTGGAAAATAATGTGTTTTTTTAACCTTAAACCGCATAAACACATTTCATTACACCAAATACACAAAATAATGTTCTTTTTAGCAGCATCATATGACCCCTTTAAGACTTTGTGCTCTTATTTAAGACCTTTTTAAGGCGTTAATTTGAGGAAGAGCGAAATAAGACTTTAAGAGCTTTTTAAGACCCACAAAAACCCTCTAACCTCTATTAGCTTAGTATCAGATTCTCACCTTGTTTATTAACATGGGGGAAATGTAATTTAATTTCTATTTGTTTGTATACCACTTTTTTTTTTATAACAAATTGTTTCAAGACAGTTTTACAAAAAACAAAGCCTTACAAAACAGCAAGCAACAAAGACAGTGGCAATGAAAACTCACCAAGAATCCTTTTCCCAAAATAAATAAAGTTCTACATCCCCTTGTGTGTTTATGTATTAAATATTTTGGAATATAAAAAAAAAAAAAAAAAAGCGGCTATTAAAGCCCCCAAATCAGCACAGAAATGTCATATTCCATCTGAGCCTAGACACAAGTATGAAAGAGATGTTTTTTATAAGTTTAACATCATGAATCAAAAACCTTCTCGGATGGGAAGCTAGTTGCTGGAACACATAGGTATTTCTTATACATAAATTAATACCAAAGACTGATGTACTCTTTCTGTCTATATTATGAAAACTGGTAAAACAAATGAAAAATATTGTAACAGTGAAATTCCTAATAGTAATTTCAAATTGCCATAGCCTATGTTTCTCTATTCAAACAACAGCAGTTGAGTAAGTGCATTTATTCAGCGATCACAATCGAAAACAATATAGTCGAGATCTCATGACAGAACACAGACTGGTTGAGTGACACTTTCATTTAGATCGCTAAACTCCAGCTTGTTTGTTGGTGTTTTCAGATCATCGTGCGCATGGTTGCCAGATTGCTTAAAATAAGCAAAACACTAGACAGAAAATGTATGCTTGTAACAGCGAAGCTCTGATTCAGGGATTCTGAACTATTGATATCTGGCAACTGCACTCATGAAAGCTCGCGTACTAGAGGTGTGTAGAGCAGTCCGCAATAACATGTTGTCTCCTTTTTTGGACGTTCGGTGCATTCTTTTGGGAAAGTATGCTTGAATTTGAAATATTCGATATTCACGATATTTTCACATTGTACATCGCAATACTTCAGGCAAAAACAACAACAAGGATTTAATTTAGGGAGCCATTAAATAGAACGTAAAATTTACAATAAATACAACCATCCAAGATGGCTGACTAGAAACGAGAGAACTTTTGATTACAAAATACCAATGAAAAATTTGGGGTCTATAAGAGTTTTAATATTTTTCATTGCTCACCAAGTCTGTATTTATTTTATTAAAAATACATGAAAAACAGTTTAATTTAAAATTATTAATGTTATCATTATCTATTTAAATATGGAAAAGCTCAATTTTCAGCATTATTACTCCAGTCTTCAGTCTGACATGGTCCTTCAGAAATCATTCTAATATGTGACCCTGGACCACAAAACCAGTCATAAGGGTTAATTTTTGGAAATTGAGATTTATACATCATCTGAAAGCTAAATAAATAGGCTTTTCATTGATGTATGGTTTGTTAGGATATAGGACAATATTTGGCCGATACACAACTATTTGAAAATCTGGAATCTGAGGGTGCAAAAAAAAAAAAATCAAAATATTGAGAAAATCGCCAAATGAAGTCCTTAGCAATGCAATTTAAAAATTAAGTTTTGATATATTTACGGTAGGAAATTTACAAAATATCTTCATGTAACATGATCTTTACTTAATATCCTAATGATTTTTGGCATAAAAGAAAAATGGATAATTTTGACCCATACAATGTATTTTTGGCTATTGCTACAAACATATCCGTGCTACTTAAGACTGGTTTTGTGGTCCAAGGTCACATATGCTGATTTGGTTCTCAAAAAGCATTTCTATCACTTTCAATGTTGAACAGTTGTGATGCTTGATATTTCTATGGAAAACATAATTTTTTAAGGATTCTTCGATGAACAGAAAGGTCAAAAGAACAGCATTGATTCTAAACAGATTTTTTTTATATGTCACTTTTGATGAATTTAGAATCCTTGAAAAAAACTAATTATTATTACATTAATATTATTACTACTTTTAGTTAGTTACTTACTAACATTGCAGGTAACCAATTACAGACATCTTAGACCTTGGGTCAGGGAGGCTTATGGGACATATGTTTTGAATGTTCATGTCTTCTAAAACACAGCAGATGGATTTTCCCCCCCCTGTCCGCAAGTGCACATGGCATCAATTCGGGAGTGTGGGAATGTCCAAGAGAGAAAAATCTGTGAATGAGAAGTAATGAATTCTAATGCTGCCATTCTCTAGCAGACATCGACAAGGCTGTCAGCCAATCTTACAGTGAATACAGAGTTTCAACCAATCCATTTCAGGACCAATATGTCAAATGTCAAACAGGATCTGTCATTCAACAGCGGTTTCTACTTCGAATCCTTGCATTGTTCTCATACGCTGAAATATTGGTGACCAATTCGTGACATCTGCAGTGTCTCAAAAAGCCTGGGCTAAGAGGAGACACTTCACTTTAACACCAACATAAATAGTGCTAAAAATAGTCAAATGTAAAACAATCAGACAAATTTCTTATGTGAAAAATAGTAAGGATTAATGCTGGAAATGAAAGTGCATGACATATTTTACCATTATCAGCATCATGAAAAACATGTAGTGGTTTCTCAAATTTTATATAAAATTAATTATATATATATATATTTTAATTATTTCTTTATATATTATTTCTTTATTTATACTTATGTATATAACTATAATATATTACTATCAAAAGTTGAGTTGGACAGTGAGGGCCTTCGAGTTAAAAGAACCAGTGATCTAAAATAACACAACACAGCTCAAAATATGTAAAAAATTATATTTTACATTTCCTATTTAACAGTTCCTTTAAATCATGCCAATTAGTTATATTTTCAAATAATATACTACATTTTCCCACTACAGCAATAAATCCAGTGAACAATCACACAGCTGAAGGACAAGCATTTGAATTTCTGTTTTCATAGCAACCGCTGCAGTTGATGTTGGAAATGTATCCTCTATTTTTAGACTCATTAAATGCATAATGTCTTTGGCTAATTCACATGTTTCACCTTTTGAGCACTTATGGATTACAGACGCAGGGGACAAGCGTTTGAACAGTGGGCAGTATTGTTCAGGTCCTCTGAGCTCCCATTACTGAGCTCAGGCAAAGCTGCTAATGTGGAGCGCAGCTAACCAGACACAGGGCTAAGCCCGGGCATGAGAATTTCAACCTCACATAACCAGGGTCTTACAGAGTTCACAGTCAGTCTACAAACCATGCTGTTGACAAACTAATGACATTCCTCAATTTTGGAGTTCAGACTCGGCGCTTTTAAGAGCACAAACTGTTTGGCAAACATTAAAAGACATCAAAATATCTCAGAACTTATGTAATTTTATAATCACACATTAATTTATTTTAGTTGCAATGTCAACACTCATCTGAAAAAAAAAAGGATCTTAGTGAAGCCAGAAGTGTAAAATTCAGATGCAAAACTTAGGCTATTGTGTCTAGAGATGGAATCGCTTTGACTGATATTTTTACAGATATTCAAACTTTTGGTTATATATTAGATAAAACTAGAGATGCACCGATCGACTGGCCGGGGATCGGAATTAGCTGATTTTCCACACGGTCAGTGTGCCGATTCCGAGCCAGTCCATTTTTACGTCCCACTTACGTTCACATCTGCATGTCAACATGTCATCGGTGTGGAATTTTATACGATAGTAGTTCAATAAACAAGAGTTTAAAATTAAGTGGCTTACATTTTAGACACAATATTGACTGTTTTCGCTCAATTTTTGCTGACAAAAATAGCAACTTTATAACTTTACTTGAAAAATAGCAAAAATTTTCAGTTCATTGTTATTTCTTCTTCTTTCCAGTCACAGAGCACTTTATTTTGAGAGTTGTTTAAATGAGAGAACATCTGTAGCTTAGTCCAGATTGGAGGAATTGTAATGTTTAATAATTTCTTTTATTATGTATATATTTTTTTGCATTGGTTTTTGTTTGGATATAGTGTCAATTATAGATCTTAGAAAGACAATCGGAATCAAAAAGAAATTGTAAATGGCCAAGAAAATTGCAATAGGTGCATCCCTAAAACATTTGATGGGTCTCAAATAGCATCCAATAATAGTATACACAGGTAATAAATCAAAAACAAAAAATAAAGCAATAATTCAATATAAGGTATTGGACACCAAAAATCCAAAATAATCAGACATTATCTAGCTGGTCCTAGATAAACTCACACCTCTGGTTGATTTAAAAGATATCAGACTAATCAAAGAGAGCAATCCTAATTGTTAGTCGACCAGAAGAGGCTTGGTCGACCAAAATTGTATTAGTCGCAGAAAAAATATATAAATAAATACAAAAATCCACAGGCAAAGTCACGCAGTTTGTGACGGACAGATCGTTAACGGCTATGGTAATAAAATACATCGTGCAGGACATCCAAACGCTCGCCTATCATTCATCGACCTCAAATATGGCTTATCATCTGAATGTAAGTATTAGCAACTTTACATGGCCGCTCGCGCTCAATCTAATGTTAAGAGAAATGTGCGCTATTCAAATGTCTGCAGAGTGTGGAGCTGAACAGTAGCTCACTGCAGGACAGATGGAGGCGCCGGTGCACTCGCTTACTCCTAAAATACTCCCTCAATTTTGGTCACACCGATAAGAGTAATACAGCTTTCGAATCTGTAAAGACTCTACGTTTATTTGTGTGCACATATAACAATAACAACAAAATGTGCTTTTGTAAAATAATGAAAGCAAACAGGATGTGCTTTCTGCCGTCTCGGTCTCTGTGAACTTGAGCGCGAAACTCCGTGTATGTTTGCCTTACAGACATAAAAAATATATCTATAGAGAGTGAAATGTCTACTTTCAAATGAATTAATTCAAATGGAAAACAGATATTCTCAGATTATGTAATCCATATGAAACATGCATACAGGTGCACTACTGCGGAGATGACAAGTAAGTGTCGCTGACATCATCTCTTAAACAGAGAACAAAGAAAGCACTAGTTTATCAGTGAATTATTAAAATGTTAATGCAGTCTCCTTACTGTTTTTCCCTGACACATTCATAATCATTAGCTTCGGCGGTGCACTGTGGCAAGCTTTATGTGTGCGCTTGAGCACTTATTAGGCAATGTAGGCAATTAAAGGCTTATTATAATGATTTAAATTGTTTATTAATAAACGTGCGATTAGTCAACTAATGCTTAAAATGAACGACTACTAGTCGACCAGAAAAATCCTTAGTCGAGGGCAGCCCTAATTGAAACACTTTAACAACTGAAACTTCACCACAGATCAGTTTCTGACAGAATACCACTGCTAATTTCACACCTATAAAGACTGAAACTTTGACGCAGGTAAATTAACTATGCCGGACATTTACCACAACACACTTAAAACATTTTCCACATTTCGTTGGTCAGCATCTTGAACACGGTTTGTTCATTTTTGCCTTAAAGTTTCTAACGTTGTCCTAACATAACTCAAGTAAATATTAAATGCAACCCTAAAGCTCTCGCACTGCTTTCCTAATTACAAAATTTCTCAAAAATACAAATTGTTGGCTTTGAAACAAAGGAAAGAGCAGCCCAGAGGGCCAGGCGAGCAAGGGGAGCAGAGGGCAGGAGGGGGCTGACTGCCAGATTGGTCCCACTGAGCCAATGTTTCCTTCATATGTTCAAGTCCTGGCACCATCCTTCCTACCAGTTCGCATGTAACCAGGCAACTGTACAGTCGGCTAGACGTAATGCCAAACTGAACGAGTACAAGTGCTCCTATTTAATAGAGAAGGCAGGGAGTTTCATTCTAGCAAGTCAGGTGACTGAATCCATTTAATTGAGATGACCAAATGATCATGCCTTCTTACAGTTTGCCAGCAGATCTGCACCTAGTAGGTGGGAACAAGTGACTGCCTTTAAATTGATTGGTTGAATTAATGATTCAATGACTCAGAGACAGATTATGTGAGTGATTAAGAAGTGAATCATTCACTGAATTGTTTATGCTATTCTGAATCTGTTATAAAAAAAAATGTGTTAAAGAAAAAAAAACACCCGAGAGTGTTGCTCAGAGATGTACAGTCACTTAGTAAATATAGAATTATATTTATTAAATTATTATTTTTTAAATATTACATTATTATAAGTTATAATAGTTTGGACATTTGCTACTACAGAAATGTACAGGCTAGATCTAGGGCTGGATGATATAGCAAAAAAATGTGTCAACGATATAATGTTTCATATCGTTCGGTATCAATAATTATTGACATTTTTATAACCTTTTGTAAAACAAAGAGCAATAGAAAAAAAATGTTTAAATTTAACCACTGTATTTTTATATTAACCCAATTTATTGAGTCAAACAACAAATATTTTTTGTTTTAACAGTCAAACACACAATAAAAATTAAACAAATATCGAATTTCTAATGTTTTATATGCAGATTAAATATGTCTTAAAGGTGCCATAGAATGGAAAACTGTATTTACCTTGGCATAGTTGAATAATAACAGTTCTGTACATGGAAATGACATAACGTGAGCCTCAAACACCATTGTTTCCTCTTTCTTATGTAAATCTTGTTAAATCTTATGTAAAAAAATAGGCGAATCAGAGCATAACACCGACTGTGACGTTACAGTCGGGATCACTAATATGTACGCCCCCAACATTTGCATATACCCGCCCATGTTCTAGGCCAGCCTGACCTGCACAGCCAAATCATCAGAAGTTCTGCAGGTATTGTGAAGAAACAAGCGAGGACAACAGCGAAAATGGCAGATCATGGAAATAAATGTTATGTTACAGGATGTGAAGTGCAGGGATGGGTTGGTGTCTGTATTCAGAAAGGCACGGAAAGCAAATAACGCGCGTTCTAATAAAATAACACGAGCCAATAAATGGACATGGTTAGCTGCTTGCTAGCAGTAGCCTGTTACATTACAGTACATACGATTTAACTTACCACATAAAC